TGCGATATGTCGAGGCACGCAAGGCGGCAGCCATAGCAGTGGCAAAAGCCAAGACTGATTCCTGGGAGAATATGGGGTTCAATAACGATAGTACTATGAAGGACATATGATATGATTTACGGAAACACGCTGCGGTTCTAAACCCCGCTCCTTTCTCATCTGCGTTTCAGACCGCAACAGCGGAGTCCCGTGGAACAGAAAAAGAATTCAAAATTATCTGAAATACAAAATAGATGGATAATACTAAAACTCATTATTCAAAGGAACGTACTCAGTGCAGTTGTACTTCTTACAGAGAATGTTTTCCGCGGATCAAAGCATTCGTTGTATATTAAGCTTTAACAAATATTTTTTACCTCCAAAATTAATGCATTACATAATGGTCTATGCACTTTCTTCTGAACTGCTAGCATGTGACTAATTGTAGTTCATAAGTCATGCATTTAACAAACTAACACCGGATTAAAAATTGATTGCTAATGGCGCCTGCGCTCTTCAGTGAACCTGTCTTCACAATAACTAGTTATTTGGGACCAATAAATAAGTTTCTTTAAGCCAAATCGTCACAAACTTGAGAAACTTTTGCAACTGTGACAATCTGAGCTAGAGCATTCCGATGTGTACGTTTTCTTCGCGACGGTCTACTAAGATAAATGAATTGAAACTCTTCAACTTTGCATTCTTAACTTAAAAGATATCATCCTATTACCTGGTAAGATACTTCCGCAAACATAAACTAGCTTTCTCGAAGTCTGGCAAACTTCAAAACTTACCTTTAGGTCAAAGAATTCCCACATTAGCCAGTATAGCTGTTCTGCACTACCGGAAAATCGTGCAGAGTAATAGATACCGATAATGATTAATCAAAGATAATGATGACATGAGCGAATTGCGATTGTAAAACCTTAAACGATTCGTATATATCATCGATGACTTTGTAGTCACTTCAATGTGCGATTTTACGTCATAACAAACAATAAAATGACGGCGGTCTTATTTTTCGCTTAAAACAAAGAACTAATTCTGTTAGGCAAGAACTATATGAAAGATAATATCGAGTGCAAGAGACTTTGGCATGGGATATGCGCTTTCTTCGTGTCTATACTTATTTCTGACCGAGTCATATATTACAACATATCTGTTGGTTCCATCGACAAATCTCAAGCATCAAGCATTGGCCGTGATTTCTCAAAGTATGTCAAAACTCTACCATATCCTCACTTTTCTTCAAGGCAAATGACTTTGGGCGAGACAAAATACATCTTTATTTTACTGCGACATTTCAACTTCCATCATAGAAGCCAAGACGTCGGAATAAATAAAAGGAGTATATTTATACATAAAAATAGAACCCGTATATAACGAGTTTACTAATATACTGCTAGTTTTCGATATCGCCGCAGAGAAAAATAATTTTCCTTTTATTACCGGATTTAACTGGTTATTGACACCGTCAGATCACCGCCAAAACAGGGAATACGCCGCCAAGCGGCCCAGCACGCAGCATGGAGAAAAAAGTGCAGGCAGATTTCATTTGGAGAAGAATATTTCTTTCTGCAATTCAATAACCAGTGCATTGTAGCAAAAGCTTTGAAACGCTGCGGATACTGCGGACATCACAAATCCGAGACATTCTGCTTACGTAAACAGCTCAGGTGATGATCTCAACAAGCACACAACCTATTACGAATAGAACATTATCGTTTCTTGATCGAAGCCCAACGTAAGATAATTTAATCAGCAAGAAGTACACAAAAAAACGGACAGCGAAAATATCAGTGACGTCAATCGCCGAGAACGCGGCCTCTGCCCCATGAATGCCCATTTCTAAAAGCGTGCGGTTGTCTGCTTTGAGGTGGCTGCCCAAAGCCATGCACGCCGTCACGTCTAGTTGGAAACCAATCATACCTAAAATAAACAAGTCGCAAACATGAGGCTGACCAGTAGTAACACATGTCACTACAATAATGATTTTAACAGGAAGTGGACCTTGAACGCTGTGACGAAATATGAATCAATCAACAATCTGATGATAACGCTTTTATGGGGAATCGATCCAAGAAGCACGAAACGTTCTGCCTCAGCTAGAAAAGAAACGAATCGCAATCTACGAAAGATCTAAGTTCCAGCAAAAATGACAGTTGTCTGACACAAGCCAAATTCAAGTCATCAGCATCGAGAGCATGCTAACAGCGAACAAAAAGAATGCGTTGAAAGAATAGCTAAGTCATGCCATCACTCTTTCAGCAACTGTTCACCCAAGAATCTCTTTCCATCGCCAATTTCAGCTCAGCATTATAGGTTTGATATACTTTGCGTAACAAACGAACAACAACATTACAAAACTGCAGTATGAATAAAATCTATCTGCGAACATAATTCTTTCAGATTCAATAACGAGTGAGCGAATCAGAGAACGCAAACAGCAGAACAATTCCAAGTCGCGTTCTATTTAATTCATTTGGACGTCAAAAAACTTCTTAAGCACTAAACGGGTTATAAGAAGTCTGTAAGACATAAGGTCTTCTGACAGGATTGCTAAAAGCATAAAGAGAAGAAGCAGACTCATTATTGGCTGATGTTTCAGACCAGACCATGGTGCAAATCCATGTAATATTTGGTTCGTGCATCGGTAGTCATAGCGAAAAACGCAATAAAAACGCATTTTATACACGACGTAAAAAGACGGTCAGCAGGATTATTGATTGATACCGGCGTATCGAACCATGTATAATGAGCTTTGTCAAGGTAACGATGGTAGCTAGCAGATGCTAGTTCAATCAAAATAATGGAATCGTAGTAAATAAAAACATTCATTCTGCTTTTCGCGTTATTAACCATAAAGATCCGGATGATGCTGCAACGCATGTGACGTTGTGCGTATACGGTCGATAAATCGCTTCTGCGAGATAATTCACAACACCAGTGTAGAGGATTCTAGTATTTTTATGTCTTCGATTCTTAGGGCCAGCTGAAATATCTGCAAAGGAAGATGAAAAGGAGGGCGGTTTGAAGAACTCGGAATTTCGTCTATAGACGAATTTTCTGCTATTTTCAGAACGGCTTGCTGAGTAGAAGGAAGGCTATAGTTGCTGCCGCTATTCAGACAGTAATTTCATGTCTGGATTCCAACAATGCAAAAATCCAGCAATATGGAGTTTTTCTTTCAAAGATGTTATTTTTCCCTGATTACAAGCGTCTCAAATTTCACGTATCGATTACCGGTCCGCATGTTCAACACTCCTCTGTCTGCCACTAGTCATTAATGGAATATCACCCTGGCTGCCCGATTTCATCTAAACTCGATCAGTTGTATACTGGACAAGGTCACCCTAGCTGGGCAGTTGAAAACGACGTCCTAATGATAAGAAATGACAAATCAACATACTAGTCATCTTCTACTGACGACTGGTAGTCTCGAAACTAGACATGACTGAAGATGCTGCTAATGATTAATCATTTATCCCGCTGAACCTATCCAATATATCCACTGGGGCTAGCAAATGCTCGCTGAACACTCGATGGTGCGTATGAACTATAATACTGAGGAAAAACCACGGGTAGCAGCTCATGCATTTAACAGAAGGAAGCAATACATGCGACACGGATTAAATTGTCAAGCTTAATTACAGTCTACTGCTTAGCCATATGAAATAGGAGAATCATGTAATACGATGTGCCGCAATTTTTTCCATAGCTTAAGCAAGGCAACTTAAAATTCGTAGTAAAAAGTAAAGGACAACAACGAGAATGAAGGATGACCGTGGCGAATACAACTATAAGGAGCAAAGCAACGACTCATCGGTCTGTTTATCAGATGATAATCAAACTAAAGTTAAGGTCATCAAAGAGGGAACAAGAGCGTGCCTGAGACAGGCTTATGCTGAGGAATCGTTTCTTGGACTACGTAACAACGATATCCTAAAGCGACCTAAACTTCTATTCCTTTGTTACCTTTAGAAGCAAGTAAGAGTTCTAAAAACTTGGAAAGTCAGCAGATACCAGCACCCGATGCTTCGCGTAATTCCGCACCACTACTGAGTCTGTCCAGTGAATACTGACACGGTTTGGCATTCATACACTGAAAGTGCTAAAATGCCACAGAGCCATGGCTTGCTTAAACAGCTCCCTACTAGGAGCAAGGGGAACGTGCATGGAGTAAATTCGGGGAAGAGATGTGAGAGTGAATATTGCTAAGCAACGTTCCTTGGTTTTTATATCTGCTTCACAATCGTATTTAAGCAATGTCGGAATTTCCATTTGTAAATTTGTTTTGTACAGCCTGATGTCTAATCGTCTCTGAAGAACAAAGGAAAACATCTACGGAAATCTCAGAGTCACGGAACGGAGAACAACTGCGGCAAGCTACGAATGATGACAGCAATAGACAAACCGCACCCCATAATGCAAAACATCATCTACAGAAAGCTATGGTTTGCTACTGTTACAAGCAACCTACTGCTTGCAGCGATTGACGTCAGAAATGAACAGTTCTGCTAAACCAAGACAAACCCTGAACCAAAAAAATAT